GACTGGATTATGGGACATGAAATGATGACTTGTGAAGACAGTCCTCTTAGCTCAAGTAGATACATAAAACTAAGTGGGCAGCTCCTGTCCGGAGGCGCGATGAGAAGGCAAAAAGGGACAGGAGCTGTTTGAATGGACTCGGGAAATCCAGGGTGGAAAGGAGGAGTGTGCTGTCACATTATTGGGAGAGTAGCTAGGATCACATAGCAATGTGTGTATAAATTTTTATATGAGAAACTGTCTTGAACTGTAAACTTTCACTTAAATCACAATAAAAAAGATTATCTCAGGACAATAGTTTCGGGGGTTATTTCTTATAGTAGATCTCACGTGAGGCTTCCAATGTTAAAATAATTCATAAAAAGCACTTTTTTTCTTTGCTTTTGTGACACTAATGTTAATCATAAATCAAACTGTGAAATCTTCAGGTGTCTTTGCTGCATGAGCCACATACTGTGACCCAACGGATCAGCAAACTGGACTCCTTAATACAGACATCAAGAGGTCCTGCTGTTGACTGTGAGTTCTCCTGCCTGGCTTGCTGGGAATACCATCTCGATTTCTGACATAGTGGCTGGCAGGAAATATACAAAAAGGCTGTCTTATTGCATAATTCTTAATACCAAATTTTATTAAATAAAACTGTTATTATCTCCCTATGATTTCATGACAGGTAGCAATTTATGAAAGGCCTAGCTTATTTGTAAAGCTATCTTTATCTGTATTTTTTAAAGCATTCATTATTCTCTATGATAAATTGAGTTCTGATCAAAGTGTTTTCTGCCCCACACAAGCAGATTGTATGAGAGAAATATCAGTGCACGTGGGTAAAATGAGTAGACACGCAGGTTTTAGGCTTGGAGTGGAGGGGACGATGGTGCCATTTATTCACGGAGGCCGGGAACACAGGAGAAGGCACAAGTTCTAGGGGGAAGATGGTGGGATCCGTGTTGGACGTGTTGCGTTTCCGGTGCCTGAGGAGGTGTTCAAGAAAGAGCTGGCTATATGGGGCTGGAACTCAGGTCTGGGCTGGAGACAGGGCACGCAGTTGGCAATTGAAGCCATGGGAGTGGCTGAGATAGGCCAGGGAGAGCAGGAGTCCCTCAGCGGCCGAGAACAGGGATGACACGTTTTTCCCACATCCATTTTTTTGTATTTCCCTTCAGCGCCTGCCATCATCACACAAAATGCCCACATCGACAGCTGCCAAAAACTACTTTTTATTCCCCACAGCTCCTCCCATCTTCCCGATAGCTACGGATGTAGGGAGAAGCCCCAAACCATTCTCCGCCGGGGGTGGGCCTACGCGGCGTTGACGTCACCAAAGAGGCGGGGCCTAAGCGGGCGGTCCCGCCCCAACGCGTGGGGCTCTGGTTTCAGTGCGGGTCCTCGACCGTGGCGCGCTCAGGCCAGGTGGAGCAGTCTGCGTTCGGCCAGCAGGCTCTGGGTGCGGTTGTAAACATCCTCCAGGGTGCTGGCGGCCCGGACCAGCGCGGCTCGCGCCTCCGTCTCTCTGGTTCCGGGACACGCCAGCTTGAGCAACCGGTCACGATCTGGGAAGGCGAGGAATGCGAGGCGGGCGGCCTGACGAATGACCCAGGGGTGGTGCGGGGCCAGGGCCGTTCCGTAGGCGTCGCTGCACTGCACGCCGGCGTCAGGGCCTTCGAGCGTCCCGGTCGCCACCCGCTGGAGACAGAGGTGGGACCAGCGCAGCGCGCGGTGCAGCAAGAGCATCGTTCGTGAACCCGAGGACCCGGCCGAGTCCTGGGGGGCAGTCCCAGGCCTCTCCAGCAGTCCTGTCTGCCGCTCCCATGCCGTCATGGCCGCCAGCGACGTGTAGTGCGCGGCATCTAGGCCGCGCAGCCTCGTCTCCAAGGCTGTGACCTTGGTGAAGGCCTCGCTTGTGGCGAAAGCAAAGATGGAGCCGAGGGGAGTTAGGAACCTGTGTGTTTGGTGGTGGTGGGGATGGGAGAGATGGTTTAAGAGAGGCCGATGGAGCCACAGGAAGCGGGGACTGGAGCGGGGCAGGGGGACCACTCACCTGACCAGCTCCCTCCATCCGGCCAGGTACTGCGACAACTCCACATCCCCTTCGGCGTTCAGACTGGCGCGGAATGGCCTCATCATTCGGCCTAGCGTCCCCTGGGGGCCCAGACACGGAGGCTCTTCCCGCTCCGGGTCCTCCAGGGGTCCGGACTCTTGCCGGACCTGGGGGATAGACATGAGGCAGGGGGATGGGTGCAGAACTCCCAGCCTGCTGGACATTTTTTTTTTTTAATTGTTGTAGTTTAAGTGAAAGTTTACAATTCAAGTTAGTCTGTCATACAAAAATTTATACATATGTTGTTATGTGACCCTAATTTCTCTCCCTATACTGTGACAGCACACTCCTCCTTTCCACCCCTGATTTCCCGTATCCATTCAACCAGCTCCTAACCCTCTCTGCCTTCCCATCTTACTTCTGAACAGGAGCTGCCCGTTTAGTCTCTTGTATCTGCTTGAGCTAAGAAGCATGCCGTTCACTAGTATCATTTTATGTCCCATAGTCCAGTCCAATCTTTGCTGCTGGACCTTCTTGGCCAAGCAGCCCAGTCGGACTGTGAAGAAATTGTTCCTGAGGTCTAGATGGCGTCGTCCCTCCTGCTGTACCCTTAGTTTCTAACGGGAGAGGGGGAAATGAGGGGGAAGACCCATTCTTCACCGGATCCTCGGTGGCTCCACATCCTCCTGATCAGAGTCCCATCTAGAGCTCCCAGCACCAGCCCTGGCCGGGGCGTACCTGGAAGGGCAGCGGTCCTTCGGGCTTGCAGGATTGTGCCCCGGATCCGCAGCCTGAGAGCGCTCCTGGGGAGAGGCGAGGTGGAGCAGTGAGAACTGGAGGCGGGGACATGGGTCCTGAGGGCCTAGGGAAGGGTTCCTCCCTGACCAGATGAGGGAAGGGGCCACTCACGCAGTATCCGAGTACTGAGATAAAGAAGCAGCAGCGCGAAGACAGCGAGAAAAATTGCGTGGTGGAGCCGGCGCCTCCGGGCCAACGGCCACAGCGTGACCCCCATGGCTGCTGCTGGGACCACCGCCCCCTCACCAGCCCCTAGCCAGTCCTATGTCCTTCTGCCTTCAGGAGGGGAGAGAAGACCGCGGTGCCAAAGGGTTAATAATTAACCCTAAGCCCCCCTCACCTGTGTCCTTTGCCCCAGAGGGCAGCTATCGGTGGATGAGGGACTAGATAAAGGGGATTTGGGGAATTGGGTGACGGTGATTTTCTCTGCATTTCCCTTCCCTGTAGGACCAGCTTGCCATAAAAGGCAGCCTTGGTATTGGGGAGAGAGGCTGGGGTCAGAACCAGCTCCCCCACTGAGCAATGCGTGGGCTCTAAATTAACTCTGAGCCTAGTTCCCTCCACTGTAAATTGAGGACAATAATTGGTACTTCAAAGGCCTCATGTGAGGATTAAATGATAATGTGTGTGAAAACACTGTAAATGGAAAAGCTTACCACAATTACTCCATAAATCTTTCCTATTTCCTATTAAGTTCAAGCACCGGGCACCTGGGATCCAGAAACACCCATTTGTAAATTCCCTATCCTATCCCTGGAGGACCTTGTCTTGATCTGGATACATGACCTCTCAAATATTTAGGTTTTATCCTTTTACACTTTTGTGGTTATTTATTTTATTTTTCAATTCCAGATACATTCATTGAGCCAAACTTTATTAGCTACTTCCACATGCCAGGCTGTGTACTAGGCTTCAAGAACACAAAAGTGCCTTCATAGAGCTCAAGGTCCACTGGGGAAGAATTTATTCTTTTGTCTTCCCCACTAGAATGTGAGCCCTGGTAGAGACAGAAGCCTCATTTTTCTTGGTTGCTGCTCTATTTCTAGCTCTTAAAATATTGCCTGGACCAAAGAACATTATTACTAAACAAATATGTATTGAATAACTGACTGAACATGTATGAGGCGCACACAAATAGGGAGCCGTGCCACCTGACAAATTTGAATCTTTTTTTTTAAGGCAAATTAGGAGTCCACCTGGTGGTCAAGGGGGGAAAGGCATTCTGGGAGAGGATACAGAACAGGGACAGAACTGTCCCGTGTCCATAAACTTCTTAGGATTGTTCCTCTCTCTCCGTGTGTATATATTTTCTTCTGTTGGGAAGAGGGGCTGTCCCAGATTCTCAAAGAGCCAGGATTCCAGTATCTAAGAAGACCCTTCCAGTTGGGCAACTGGTGGATTCTTGCCTCTCACTTTGATGCCCCCTCCATCCTGGAGGTCCCTGGGTTGCCCCTCACCCATCCTGTCCCTGGCCAGATTCCTGTGCCATCACTACCATCTCTAGCGCTGGTCTCTGGTTTCCCAGTGTTGGAATATTGCCCAGCTTGCTGGCCGTGGCCTTAGGCAAGTTGCTTGTCATTTTGGAGCTCCAGTTCTCTCATCTGCAAAATAAGAAGGGTAATTCCCACCTCCTAAAATGTTTTTGGGGATTAAATAAAATAAGCCTGCAAAGTGCTAAGCACAGTTTGTGGCCTGCAGTAAACGTTTAGTAGGTGGTGGTGATTTCAACCCTCCAGTTTGCCCTGCCCCTCCTCCTTTGACGCTGGGACTCTCGACCGAGTCTGCAGGATTCCGAGAGCGGATTAGTTTTGGATGTCACTTAATCCGGGTGGCCCTTCCCCAATCGGAGCCCTTGTGCGGTCAGGGGTGGTATAAACTCGCGTGAGGGGCCAGGCTCACGGAGGCTGCGGGATGGAGCTGCGCGCGGGGGCCAAGCTGCTGCTGCTGCTGCTGTTGTGGGTGACGCGCTGCGGACAGACAGGAGCAGGTGGGCCCAGTGGCTTCACGTCGGTCATCGAGGTGACTAATGGGGGCCCCTGGGGCGACTGGGCCTGGCCCGAGATGTGTCCTGACGGATTCTTCACCAGTGGATTCTCGCTCAAGGTGGGGACTCAGGCCTGGGTCCTGGAGGGGCGGAGACGTGCGGGACCCCAGAACCTAGGATGGCAGTTCTCTGACTCGTCCTAGCCCCTCTTCTCCCAGGTGGAGCCTCCCCAAGGCATTCCTGGCGACGACACGGCTCTGAATGGGATCCGACTACACTGTGCTCGAGGGAATGGGGAGCTCAACAAGCACGTGGTGGAGTCCCAGTCTGGAAGGTGAATGGGTGGTCAGGAGCCAAGTATCCCCTAGGGTGGGGATATGCCGTTAACCTCTGCTACACCCCCTCTCCCGGCAGGCAGGCACCTCCAGAGCCGTGGGGCAGTTTAGGTCTGGGGGTATGAATGGAAAACCTCGCACCTCTGTGGAGATCAGATGATTAGACCTAAGCCACCGAGTTCGTGGCTTTTCTGGCTGGGCAGTCTCAAGGGCAGGGGCAGTCTGAAGGTGGGTAGGGGGAGCCCGCAGAGCCAGCGCATCTCCTCTTCCTTCTCAGGTGGGGCGCGTGGAGTGAGCCTCTGTGGTGCCCGGGAGGCGGCTTCCTTGTGGCGTTTTCGCTTCGCGTGGAGGCCCCTGTGACCCCTGGGGACAACACGGCGGCGAACAACGTGCGCTTCCGCTGCTCCGACGGCTCGGAGTTGGAGGGGCCTGGCTTGGCCTGGGGAGAGTTTGGAGACTGGAGCGACCCATGCCCCAAAGGCGCGTGCGGCTTGCAGACAAAGATTGAACCGCCTAGAGGCCTCCGCGATGACACCGCGCTTAACGACGCGCGCTTATTCTGCTGCCGCAGCTGACGCTGTCACCGCCCTCTTCCCGGCTCCTAGGTTTATCTCACCTCGCGTTATTAAAGCTTCTGCATCTTGACTTTGGTCTCGCTTGTTTTAGGAGTGGGAAACTGCGTCTCCTTGTCTCCCTCCTGAACTAGTATTGGGCCAGGCCCACGTTGGAATTTGGTCGTAGGGGTCTATGGCAGGCTGCTGAAAGTTACGGATCCATATAATCCAGAATAACGCTTGTAAACTCACCATTTTGCATACAAGTTACGGAGGTCCCTGACTTTCTGAGGGCGTCTGCAGACACCCTTGCCCGCCTCAAGAGCCCAGGTTGTCCCTTTTCTGAATCACCAGTGACCCCAAATGAGGAGGAAACAAAGCTTTAATGGCCTTAAGTCTGCATTTTCTAGAGTTTAAGAAGTTAAAGTGTCCTTTTCCGGAGTTTCCAGTTTTTTCCCTACAAAGTCCGGTTCTCTGAATACCGATTCTCCCTTTAGACCTTTGCCCTTGCTGTTTCTCTCCGCCTGGAATCCGCCAGGTACTCAGATTATAGCTCAAATTTCACTTTTACAGTAAGATTTTCCTTATCTTATGAAAATAGTCCCTCTCTTAATCAATGACTATCCTATTACCAATGCAGTTTTTAAAAGAGCTTATCACCAACGGAAACAATCCATTGCCTCTTTCAAAAAATTGCCCGTCTCCCACCCCTAGCATGCTAAATTCTTTGAGAGCATGGGACTTGTCCGTCTTGTTTACCACTGTATTTCCAGGACACACTAATGCCTCAATAACTATTTGTTATTTAGGAAAATAAAAAGCGGGGTGCAAGAGCTTCAAACACGAGAGGCCCAAGTCCGGGTGTATCTTGGACACTCGACGCATAAGGTACACTCTGAGACGAGCAAGACAGCTCCTAACAGTTTATTCTAGCGAGCGGGGGGGGGAGGGAGGCGGGGGGTAGGCGAGCGTCCAGGAGCGAGCAGGTGTAATGGAGTGGCCAGTCGGTGGAGCCTTAGCTAGGGTTGCCCTGAAAAAAAAGAGAAAAGTGAGGACAAAACCAGTAGCAAGCAGGTTTCTTCTACTACCCTTCCCCACACTGCCCCACCTCCTTCTTCCTGCAATCGCCACAGAAGACACCAATGGCGGCGTTCACCAGCTGCACCCCGCACAGCACCACCTCCAGGCAGGCGGCCACCACTAGCAGCGAGAAGAGCGTCACATTCCAGGGGACCACACGAGGCGGATTGTCGCACAGGCTCCACAGACTATCGTTGCGCAAGTACTCTCCACTGTGGGCGGGGCGAGGTTACGTGAGGGAGGGCGGTCACTCGAGGTGACTTCTCCCCGCCCCCCGCCCTGCGCACCCGCACAGGGGGTTTGTGAAGGGCTTGGTTGGACCACGTGGAGGGAGCGCTCTTGAAGCCGAGTCTCGCCCAGATATCCTGGTCCTCGTGAAAAGGGCAGGTGGGGAGTGGTGGAGGATGCGGGGGCGCGAACACAGGCTAAGCCTTACTTGGAGTTTTCGAAGGGGTATTTCCACTCGCCGTTACTGAAGCACTGGGGTCCAGTCCGGAGTCCGGCTCCTGATACTGCAATGCAGTAGATGGCACCAAGAGCCCCAAACGCCGAGGAGAAGACCGAGCGAAGCATCTGAGTGCAGAATGGAAGGTGGCGAAAATTGTGTTGCCTCCTCCACTCGTGGGCCGATTAAGCCTAGCCATACCCCCTACATGACTGCAGTCTCTTTGAGTCACAGTAAAAATAATTTCCCGTCAAACCCTGGGGCTTGGCGTTAGGCTAACCCTAAGAGCCAGCGGCTGTGGAGGTTCATGGGGGGTGTAGTCCCCTCCAGTCAGGCCCACGAGGCTTAAGATTTGCCAGTTGGGGGTAGCGGTGAGGTGGAGCCTGCGGCTCTGCAGAGGAGCTCGTGTTGCTAGGATTCTGTAGAGGGGGTACTGGCTTTAGGCTCTGCGAGGCCGGTTCAAATACTTAGTTCTGAAACCCACCTCAATTTGGTCTTACCCTGCAGCGATTTCCACAGCAGCCTGCACCGCAGCAGCCTTTTCCCCCTGCCCGAACGGCTGTAATTCCTGGACACAGTACCTGTGGGAGGACAGTCGGTGTGATAACCTGTCCCCCCAGATTCTCAAGGCCTTACTTGCTTCAATACTTCCCTCCTCTGGGAAGCTGCTTGTGGTTTCCTCAGCTCTTTAAACTATTCTGTTATTGTTAGTTGGCATCCACTTGGCTCCAAATCATGGCAACCATATGTGTAACAGAATGAAACCTTGCCCCGTTCTGCGCCATCCTCACAGTCTTTGGTATGTTTGAGCTGGTTGTTGCAGCCACCAGGTCAATCCATTTTGTGGAGGGTTTCCCTCATTTTTGCTGACCCTTGGACTATACCTACCTACCTATCTGTTGCATCAAGTCGATTCTGACTCATAGCATCCTACAGAACAGGGTAGAACTGCCCCATGGGGCTTTCAAGGCTGTAATCTTTACCGAAGCAGATTGCCACATCTTTCTCCTGAGGAGTGGCTGGTGGGTTTGAAACACCAACCTTCTGGTTAGCAGCCAAGCGCTTAACCATTGTGCCACCAGGACTCCATCTTTGGGCTTTAGGAAGACCTTAGCTCTGTATCTCCTGGAGTGTTGTTGGGCTCTAATTTATAGTTATTTATGTACCTACCTTATCTCTGTCCTGACTGTGGCCTCCTGGAGGGTAGGGTCCAATATCATTATCTCCATAAACCTTGGCACCTGGTAGGTGCCCAACTGAATGAGAGTCAGGAGGCCTGCGATCTAATGCCAACCCTGCACTCATTTCACACTCTATGAATTGATTCATCTCTCTGGGTCTCAGTTTTGCCCTCTGTAAAATAAGTCTGCCAGTCCTACCTCACAGGGCTGTTGTCAGAATTTAATGTGATAACAGGTTGATTTGATGTCAAGACTGGCTCAGAGTAAATGCTCAATAATTGTAAATTCCCTCCTGTCTCCTCAGCAGCAGGAAGCAAGGAAGGAGTAGTGGAGTTGGAGGGTCTGGTGAGCTGGGATTATGGTAGAGGGTGGAGGAGTTTGTAAGGGGTGGCTCTGATGTAGAGTGTAGGATTCCCTGAGATTCAGCCTCTGGTCCTCTGTTCTTTCTCCCTGTGACCTCCCTCACAAAGCCCATCCCCTCCCATTGGCCCTGACAATAGTTGACTCCTAAATGGATGCCTCCAGATCCAAATCTAACTGCCCGAAGAATATATTCACTTGAATGTCTTGGTTTTACCTCAAATTCAGTCAAGCTCATACTAACCTCATGATATTCCCCAAATTCATTTCCCTTTGACTTTCTTGTCTCCATCATGGGAAATATCATTCGTCCAGGGTACTCAGGCTAGAAAATTGAGTACTCCTACACCCAGCCGGAACTCAGATCTTCTCAACTTTTCTCTTTATTGTGCTTTAGGTGAAAGTTTACAGCTCAAGTTAATTTCTCATACAAACATTCATACACATATTGTTATGTGACCCTAGTTGCAATCCCTATAATGTGATGGCACACTCCCCCTTTCCACCCCGGGTTTCCCGTGTCCATTCAGCCAGCTCCTGACCCTCTGTGCCTTCTCATCCTGCCCAGACAGGAGCTGCCCATTTAGTCTCATGTATCTACTTGAATTAAGAAGGACACTCTTCACGAGTATCAACTTTTCTTTAAATAGCTCTTGAATCTCTTTGACCTTCCTTCACCTAAGGTCAGTTCAGACATCACTTCATAGAGACCATCCTTGAAAATGCTATAAAAAGTGGTCTCCCACCTTGTCCTCTTTATGACAGCACCCAGCTTTATTTTCTTGATGGTACCTACTCTTATCTGAAATCATCTTTGCTTTATTGACTTTATTCATTCAACGACTGTTAATTGAGTGCCCGTTAAGTGCAAGGCATTGGCCCAGGCACTGGGCACACAACAGCCTTGCTCTCGTGGAACTTACACTCTTGCTTCCTTGATACTGTTTGTCTCACCAATGGGAGCACAAGCTTTAGGGAGAGCAGGGACCTTGTCTGTGTCCCTGTGGCATAGCACAATGCTATGGGAATGAATTTGGAGATGGTCTTCTCAGCCTTCTCAAGAGTGACTGTAGGCATGGTGGTGGGGGAAGCAGCTGTGTTGTTGGGGTTGGGAGGGCATCTTCCCCTGAAGCAGGCTGGTTAGGTTGTGCAGCAGAGTGTGTGAGAGGATAGGGATGGTTGAGGTTAGGGAAGGGGTGGGATGTGAAAGTGGGTGAGTGTGTAGGCTCGGGAGGAGTGTGCCCCCCAAGAGAGAGTTGAGGTCAGAGGGATGGAGTAGAGTCAGAAAGCCATGAACCCACAGAGGAGAGGGGGGAGTAGGAGAAAAGATCCTCGAGAATAAGAGGATTGTTGGTTAAGGAGAGGTATGCCCCTCTGTCTAGTAGAGGTGTAACCAGTCAAAGGGAGAAAGGCAAGGCTCCTCTTGGAGAACTTTCCTCAGTCAACTGTTCTGAGAAGTGGGGAACTGGGCTAGGTAGATCTTTTGTCTTTGCCCCATGAAGATGTTAAGCTAGCTTGATCTTCAAAAAGTTCCCCTAAATGGCAACCATTGTGAGGATGATGCCGGACCAGGCAGTGTTTTGTTTTGCTGTACCTAGGGTCGCTATGAGTCCAAACTGACTCAACAGCACCTAGCAACAACAAATGGGGAGGGAATTGAGGATGGGGGTTAGGAAGTCCAGGAAATCTGTATCTCCCCTTCTGCAACTTATGCTGACAGGTCCTAGCCTCAGGGAAGACTTGAGGGCACCTTCTCCCTCATACCGACCTAAGTTCTGACTATTCTTAGCATGCACAGAGTTAACAGTTGACACAGAGTCGATTCCGACTCACAGTGACCCCATGAGTATAAGAGTAGAACTGTGTTCTATGGGATTTTCAGCGGCTGATTTTTCAAAAGTAGATCGCCAGGCTTTTCTTTTGAGGCTCCTCTGGGTGGATTCAAACAGCCAAAC